TTTGTTCTTTTGGTAAATTACTTTTTGTTCTATTATTCACTTTTTATAATTGCAAACAACACACCAGTGTTCGTGCATACTAAACAAAGTTTTTCCCGAAGTATGAAATATTTAAATTCGAAAATTCAGGAGTTCCGATTCTCTTATAACATGAAATAAACAGTTTCTATTGTATAGATGATCGTTAATAATTAACTACAACGAGATGCTAAAAGGAAAATATCCCAGAATGCAGAGCATCCTTGATTCACGATTAACTGCAGATGTCTGACGAAACTGCAGCGACAGATAGACTTGCAAAACAGTATTTAACACAGTGTCGCAACATTGTACGCGCGGCTGAGAAGACTGAAAGATTACTAGATCGATCTTGAACGATCATGAAAGGATCGGTTGCTTTACGAAAGGATTCATTCGTACTTTCTAGCCAGCCACACAATGTATATACTGAAAAATCATTCTAATCGGAGTAATGTAACTTCAACATCAAAAGTAACAAATATTTGGAAATTTTATAAACACCTTTCATCCTGCATCTTGCATCCTTAGCAAAGCACAGTATTGCAACTGCATTTCCGTGAGAAAAACATACTTGAACAACGTAAGTACACTACCGCTCATAAATATTTACCCATGCACATTTTTCTCTTCACTCAAAGGTCTGAGAAATCTTTCAAAAGTGTTATATTTTTTTTAAATAAGCGTTACAAAACAAGTCAATCCTTAACTTCTTCCTTGAAAACCGGTTAAATGAAGTTGCTTATAGAAAATAAAAAATTTTGTGAACAAATGAGTGGGTAAATACTTGTGAACAGTAGTGTTGGAGAGAGGAAAGGGGAAACAGCCTAATAAGGCACTGCATAATTAACGAAATGCAAACAGATTTGTGCTATTGCACTGTATAATTAAATACATCATATATAGTTGAAGTTAACTGCCCCTTTGAAACAAATGAAATTTAAGCACTTCACAATCGTTCACAATCGGTTAGGTTCATTTTACAATCAATGAAAAGAAGGTGTTTTAGGATCCCAATGAAAAGGAAACATACAACCGTATCGAGGGCTTTCGTGACTAGCGTACCGAGGCGGAATCGTGCTACCGAGATACATAATAATTCACACCATTGTCTCGAAACAATGTTTATTGTTTTAGATACACAACTCTAGTACATATTTCACTTGAAAAGAAGAAGACAAAAACACGTTTGAAATTGAACGACGTACAAACACAAAGTAAATAAATACAATTTTTAATTGGTCTTGTAACAAACGAGGATGTTTATACAATGCTTGAAACGAAATTGGACAGAAACATATACATAAATGTTTCGACTCGATGTTTCTTCGTACAGCTATAATTTATGATTAACATATGGTTTCTTTCCGAAATACCGACAAAAAATTC